TTTTTTTTTTTTTTTTTTCTGTACCAGGGATTGAACTCAGGACCTTGTGCTTGCCAGGCAAGTGCTTATGTTACCAGGCTATCTCTGTGGTCCTACCAAGCTATCTCCCCAGCCCTAATGTTATCTTTCTGTACTCATTCTTTAGGAAATGCAGGGGCTGAAGGAGACGGCTCAGTAGAATAAGTGCTTCCCTGGCAACTGCAAGGGCCAGTGTTCAATCCCCGGTTCCACCAAAAAAAAAAAAAGGAAATGTGTGCTACATCCACTCATCTTCCCTCTTAAAATCCAAGACTTCTTCAACCCACCCAGTGCCACTGACTCTTGATGCAGCTTGGAATGGATGAGAAACCAGTGGCTGACGGGGAACCCGGAAACAAGTATCACACAGGTCATGAATCCTCCTTTGGAAAAAGTTTCCTGCAGGCCTTAGCTGGATTTCCTCAGAGATATGCCAAAGTTTCTTGGAGTCTGACCCTGACTCACCACTAGAGCATGACAGGTTAGACACACAGGCTTTCAACTCTGACAAGTTAAACCTTGACTTACCACTTGTTCGCTGAGTGATCTTTAATGAGTTGTTTTAACATCTCTTACCTTAGTTTCCTTATCTAAAAATGAACATAATATTACCTGCCTAATGTCCATATATCAAAAAAGACTAAAAGAATTCATGTAAAGCACTTAATAAAGTACCTGAGTAGGCTCAATATATAGTACATTAATTTACATGGCAGAGTTGCCTGCTGTCCTACATGTGCCTTTTGATGAACTTGGGATAAACGCATTGCTGCGCGAGGCCGTGCACCCTCTGGGCCTAGCTGAGTGCCCAGCAGACACAGGTGTTGAGTAAACAGCTGCTGAATCTGTGTCCAGTTGGCTCCTGGGAGAGCACTAACTGACAGAACCAAAGCGATGGCTGGCGAGGACCATATTGCCCTGTCGGCACAGAGTGACCCCTTCCTACCAGCATCTGCAGAAGCCCAGAACTTCGCAGGGAAGGCTGTGCTTCCTCACAGATGGCCGCCCAGCCCAGAAGGCCGCTCGGTCACACTTAGAACAGAAGCTAAATCTATGGGCCCCATAAAATCTAATTGTTTGAGAGACGTGGGGGTCATTTACATCTCCCATAGTTTACAAATAAGGAGACTGAGGCCAGAGAGACAACCAGAATTCCTGATTCCTGGCTCTAACCTCGTGCTCTTCACTCCAAATTCCCACTGGTCACATCTGGAATGATAAGAATTTCAGAAGTTAGCTCTCCCTTATAAAAACTAGGGAAAGCAGAAGAAAACATTACTAGAAGAAGTGTAGGCTTATTCAACTACCTTTCTAAATCACAATCTAACAAGAGTGCTTCAAGCTAAATAAAGGAAGCTCTGAATACTCCTTTTCACTGGAGAATATAATTTTGCTTCAGCCACAATTTAAATTGATTTAGTTCTGAGCACCAGCACTTGAAGTGTGGAATATATTCCATTTTCGCCATGATACTTGTTTTGACAGTGATACATTTCAGTTGACATAGTTGAAATCCTTATGTAATAAATCTCTGCCTGAAAATTAATCATGTTTATAATATTCTGAGAATTAATAACACCCATTGCTCAAATCATTAACTTAAAAAAAGGAGCTTCCAAAATCTGTTCTCGGCAGTAAGGGACCACAAATAAATGAATGTTTGATAAAATAATCCAAGTAGCAGTTTAACAAGCGTAAACTGGAATGTGGCTGCAATAACACAGAACTATTGTTTAAGGGTTGGCAGAGGCTGATGAGGTTCTTATTTCAGTTACGAAGCAGGCATCCACATGCATAATGAACTGCTCTCTGAATTATTAATGTGTTGCTTATTTAGCTTCATCTGTCTAGAAGATAATGTATCCTAACTCTAATGAGTGATTGGTTTTGTGCATAATTACAGTAGCAGCAGTAGTGGGGAACTGTGTGCCTTCAAAGGAGGAGTTCTAAAAATAAAGCCATCACATAAACTCTGTTGTTGTTGCATTCTATCAAAATCAAACCCGAAGCATTTGAGAATTCGTAATAAATTACAGGAGACAGAATCATTATTAACATCATAATTTAACACAAAAGGTTTTACTTAATCATTCATTACAGATCATGTGCTGTTAAAATGCATATAAACAACTTGGGTTGTCTTAAGATGTTAGCGAAGATGTTTCCTTTCGGTCATTCATGAAGTGTGGGTTTCCAAGGTTTAGAAAATGAGGGAAGGGGTGAAAACAGATAGCAAAGGCCAACAATTCATGCCATTTTTGATATAATGTAAGTTAAAAGTTATTTATGTACTTAGTACAGGGTCTACAGGGGCTCACTATGTAGATTGGACTGATAGTGATCCTCCTGTCAGCCTCTCAAGTGCTGGGATTACAGGCGAACGCCACTGCGCTTAGTCTCATTCAAAGTCTCAGCATGCCCCAGGGTTGGGACCAGCATGGCATGTAGCATTGGGGAGGGATTGAACCCCGGCTTGCGGCTGCCTAAGAAGGTGCTTTAGTCCACTCTGTTATCTAGCCGGCCCAATTAGAAGTTATTTTTTTATTTTTAATTAAAAAATTTTAAAGGCTGTTTCTTTTTTGTTTCTAAAACCTGCATGTCTGGGGATTTCTTGGACCTTATTTACACCATCAGGTGGCTCTTTGTGGAGGAGAGAGACTGGGTGAGAAGTCCAGTTGCCCATTCTAACTGGGTCTAAATAGCCTGTTAGACACTTGTTTCTGATGTGGAAGAATTCTGAGTTCTTCTAAGAGTCCAAACAGTTCTCTGCTTTCCCCTGCACAGCTCATTATTAAAGGGACAGACGCATTTTATGGACCTCGGTTCTAAGCGCACCGTCATTATCATAGCGGTCTTATCTCTACTCTTCCTTTTTCTCTAGTCTTCAAAGGGGCTGTCAACTGTCAGATCATAAACCTGACAGCAGCGTAGCCTGTTCACACTTGTTCAGGAGGCTTCAGCTCGGTTGCGAATCACATCTGTACGTGCTGCTCTTTAAAAAGAGCCCACCACGTGAGCACACACCCACGAGGGCATCCACGCACGAGCACAGCGGCCCCCGCATCAGGACGGTCACTTTTCTCTTTAAAACCGAGCACTTTGAATTTATCTCTACACCAGAAACCATGCAGAGCTTTTCTGCAGTGATTGTAGAGTCATTTGAAGTTCTGAAAATCATAATGCATCCCTCTTGTGTGTAGGCAGTTCCTGAAAGTGCTTAACTCCCTTGATTATGGGAGAATTCCTCTATGTGGCCTGTGGCTAGGAATGGAACCTATAGGCAAGATGGGAAAAATGAGAGAGTGCTTCTAATTCAAAGTACAACTTCCACTTATGGCTTTCTGAAACTACACACTTAAACGCAGCAAACTGTCTTTGGAAGGCTTGCATGGAATACTAACTTGTCTTCTGACTTCCTTGTAGAAATGGCATGGAGTTAGGCTTGCCAGTCAGAAGGGCTTAAGCTTTAATGCTGTCTTTCCTCCTAGCACTGAACCTAGCATCCTGCAGGTCCCTGTAGTGAAAATGGAGGCTATAGGTGGGGTTGGACATGGGAAATTTTTAGCAAGATCCTAGGGCCTAATGAAGGGAGAACTATTTCTCCTCTCTGGTCCAAATGTGCCTGTATCTGTGTTCTGTCCTCTCCTCTCCTCTCCTCTCCTCTCCTCTCCTCTCCTCTCCTCTCCTCTCTCTCCTCTGTTTTCTCATCTCTCTCATCTATGCTGGGCCTGGGCTCACACTTGCAATCTCTTGCCCCAGCCTCCCAGAATGCTGAGACTACCACCTTGCTTATCTTAATAAGCAGTTTGAGGGGTTCCCATGAGGTGGGGCCTGGCTGGTTCCTCACAGGGCACCTACATTGAGGAGGAGAAGGAGGAGACTGCTTGAGCACCTACAACATCAGGCATGTTCTCTAGGGTAACCTTGAGACGCTGGGCAGTCAAGGTGGGTTATTTAAATCCATAGGCATCTCCTAGACCTGAGGGGGCTCAGCAGACAGTCAGGAGACACTGCTCTGAAAGAATATCCCTGGAATGCCAGTGTAGGGTCCCATTAACTACTGGGATTCCTCTTTTATCTGTTCAGTATATTAGGATCTCAAATGGTGCTTCATTTACAAAAAGGACACAAGGCTCACTGTTGTATAAGGCAGAAGCAACCCTTGGGCAGCTATGAGGGCAACTGTGGTTGCCCTCTTATACCAAGGGCCATCACTCAGGTCCTCTTGACTACCACTCTTTTTCTCTGTGATCAACTTAGCTTGTTCTATCAAGAACCGACTTTTTCTATAGAGTCCTACCCTCTGTTACCCAGGTGCTAAGCTTGGTTACAGCTACCTTTGTGATGGGGCCAGTGTTGAGGGCTTCGCTAACCAAGCTGGGAATTTTCCTAAAGGTCATTAAAAAATCCTAGGTAGCTTAGCAACATGCTTAGATTTGCTTTTTCCCTTGCTGCCTTGATTGAAGAATGTGTCTAGACTTACGTAGAAATAAGAGGCAGGGAATCTTAACAAGTGGCTGTTGTAACTCTAGCGCGAGACAGCGAAATCAGAAAGTGGGGCAGTATATTCACAGTGGGATAGGGGTCTCTGAGCCAAAGCATTTTAGCAGCTGGAATCAGCATGTCTGGTGCAGGGTGCACGTGGGGCTGGGGTGTCTTAACCTGACCCTGAGGAATCTAAGCAGGGAAGTCCTGCAGAACTCTGGATCTAGAAGTCTGAAGCTTAAAAATGAAATTGGGTATAAATACAGAGTTTGTCTGAAAGAGCTGGTCACTGAAGCAGCAGGTATGTTTCTGGATGCCCTCTCCTTTTTCCTCTGACCAAGACATTCACATCCCCGAGCCCACCTCAGAGCAGTTCAGTGACCTGCCTGGTTTTCTTTTTTCTCTAATGTAAGGAGCCTTACGTGCAGACAGAGCTCTGCACATGGCAGCTGAGTGTCACCAAACATGGGAACAGACACAAATTAGCTGCTACTTACCGGCACCGACAGGGCGCTATGGCGCTTTGGTTTTGTTTCTTTCTTTGGGACAAAGCGGGGCACTTCGAGGGTGCTCAAGCTGCAGTCCAGATGGCCATTTGTCAGGTAGAGGGTGAGCTGAGTCAGAGCCAGCTGGTCACTATATGAGAGACTGAGGCCTGTTGCCCACACCTGATGAAAACAAGAGGCAGACAAGTGAGGGTGACATCAGAAATGGAGAAAAGAGCCCTCCCAGGCCTAGGCAGACTAAACCACATGGTAGGCAGAGCCAGACCAGCAACCATCGGACCTGAGGGAACAGATGTTTTTACTATATTGTTCAGCTGTGGGGTAGAGGCTGATTCTAATCAGAAGACTCAAGGTTGCCGGGGAGATAGCTTAGGAGAATAAGCGCTTGTCTGGCAAATGCAAGGACCTGAGTTCAATCCCTGGTTCCACAAAAAAAAAAAAAAAAAAAAAAAAAAAAGAAGACTTAAGCTTATATGAGAAGTTACAGAAGTGAAAATACTCAGCCAGGACAGACTAACAGAGGTGACTAGTCTTCAAAACCTTGTGTTGACTTTTTCTGCCTGTGGCTTGCCATTTTGCAGGTAGTACTGTGTTTACCTACTGAGGAAATGAGACACAATGGTGGCTTTAGAGGGTAGGAAAAATGGAGAAGAAAGGGGTAAAGAGTGATGACTGAGATGGGAGGAATGAGACATAAGAGAAAAGGGTAGTTTGTCTTGGTTTTGGAAAAGGCAATGTTGGTCTTTCTGGGACTGTCAACATGAAATTTAGGGGAAACTGACAGTTGGCCCCACAAGGAAGAGCTGTACCACCATTAGCTACAAGGAGCAGGAATATCAGCTTACCACCCCACAAACTATATCATTGTACCTCAAATGGTAGTGGACGATAACACATTATCTTAGCAGTATCACAAGATTATTAGAATGCTATAATGCAATGAAAATGCTTTGAAAGATAGACATATTAGTTATATATTACTCTACTGGATGACTGAGTAATGTCTATTAATTCCATTATCAGATTTGCTATGTCTCAAACTGGCCCCTGATAAGCATAGGTCATCTCTCTTTCCTTTTCCTTTTCTTAAAATTTTATTTTATTGAGAAGCAAATATCAATGAGACAGTTTCAAAACTGATTAATAGGAAAGTTTCAATAATTAATACATTGTACATTGTTATCTTCTTAGCGGTTATCCGTAGTACAAGATGCAGACAGAATATCCTGTCCAAACACTATTAGTACAAATCTTTCTTCTCATTGAATTAAGTGAAAGTAGCTGTATATCTATCCTAACTATTCTGCGTATATAGTTACACAATGGTCCTTCCTTTGTATCCCCTTTTTTTGTTTAGTCCTGTCAGAGATAGGTATCTCATTGGCATCTAAATACTATAGGTGCATGAATTCAGCAAAACAATCCAACACAGTCCAGAAGTCCACAATAGCAGTAGGTTATCCACAGAAGTTGTTGACTTGAACCTTTTACAGCTCAGCATATTAATATGGCTTTACTTTATATATCTCGTTTTTATACTTTTCTGCTGGATGGTTAAGACCAAGATAAAGCAAGACCTGTATAACAACAAATGTAACTCTTGTATATGATAAGGTCAGTCAAGTACCCTCAGGATTTATCCTATAACCCTGTACTGCAGTGTGCAGATCCTTTGTCAGTGTCAGCCATGTGGATGAGTCATGGCCATTGCTTGACCAATTTTCTCTCTGTGAAAGCCTGAGAGAATGTTTTCTTTCCAGTGGCTCTCCTTAGGCACACTCTGCGTCATCAATCACATTGCTTTGTCGCCCCATAATCTCCTTGATCAGAAAATTTGGGACACAACTAAATTACCTGATGTTCCAGTATAGGTTCTCCTATGTCCTGAGTCTTCACTGACCTTAAAAGGCTATGGCCAGGGGGCCTGGCCGTAGCTCAGTTCTTTAAGTGGCTGCTTCCACAAAGCTGACAGCCTCAGGTTGCTGTAGTTTGATCCCCACAACACTCCCGCCAGACAAACCACCGCTGAGGGCATTCGGAGCAAAAACAAAAACAAAAACAAAAACAAAACAAAACAAAACAAAAAACACTTAAAAGGTTATGGCCAAAATGTTAGCTGTCCTTGCAGCCCTTCTATTTCTCTAATTTTTGGTCTGCAAACTTAGGTTGTTAACCCTCCAGAAGAGAAGCTTATTATTACCCTACAACTTATGCATTTGGGTTTAACTTCACTGTCTGTCTGAATATCAAACATCTTAGGCATAACATGGAGTAGGTATTTTTCCTTTCTCCTAGGACTGATGAACTTAAATTCCCACCCTCACACTGAACTTGCAAGCATCCCTATAATTAACCTCAGTTCAATAGTGACTGTGCATATATATCACTGTGCTAGTTACTGGGGGTCAAAGTGAACAGGAAAGACAGATACATCTTCAATTAGTTATAACACAGTGTAATAATGGGATAGGATAAAGGACTACTGAAGCAGAAGGGAAAGACAGGCTGGGTTTGCCCGTGAATTCAGGGCTACATTCCAGAGGTGACGACTGAATTTTAAACAAGCAACACAGCCATGTCTGGCTCTTACGTGTCGTGTGTAGCAGATGCTTCACAAACATCTTGGATCTTTTTAATAACTTTAAAAAATCCACATTACAGATAAAGAAACAAGTCAGAGAGGTGCCCAGGCCCACATAGGAAGTGGTGGTGCTGGGATTTGATTCCAGTTCTGGTCAGCTCCATGTTTACCCTCCTTACATCCTGTGGTGGAGGAGATGGCACGGATCCTGAACCAATTCTCCAGTCAAATTAAAGGTAAAGTTCAAGAGGATTAGAAAATCTTCTTGTTCCATGTAATTCGTGCCACAGAAATGTCTTGTGGAGAAAATATGAAGTATTGTATTTCTGGAGTATGCTGTAATTAGCAGTAATGCATTTTCACTGTAGGAAGTTGGAAACTAACACATTTTCATGAAGATTTGATTAAATATTTTTTCCCTTTCAGAAGGCCTGGTGCCCCGCTCGCCAACTCTGTATGTTAAAATACATAATACATCTGCTTTAGAGTGGACTCCTCTCGAACAGATCGCGCAGTGAGTGACTTGAGTAAGCATTGAATGTAAATGGCATCATTATAAGGATATTAAGGGGTCAAGCTGTCAAGGCCCCTTGCTAAACTGAAGCTAATTTCAGGAGTCATATTCTCACAGTAATGCCCTTTTATAATAGCAAATAAATCACATTTGCAACAATTGTTAAAAACTAACTGCCAAATATCTGTTGCCGTTGTGAATATACTATTTGTCAACTTAAATATTTCCTGCTGTATGGCACCAAATGTAAATCAGATGGGGACAGCCACCATTCTTTCGTAGGGGAAGCGAGCTTGCTGTTCTGGTGGGTCAGGCATCTTCCCCCTAGAGTTTCTATTTTTATGTCTTAGTGTTCTTGATCAAAGGGAAACTTATATACCAAGCATCATTAATGTGTATGTTGATAATATTAATGCTCTGGTGATAAAGTTTTAATAGGAAGGCTGCATAGAGTAGGGAAAAAACTAAGAGCCAAGGACTGGCCTGATGTGTTATGGCCTCACATAGCGTAAACTTAGAGTTCCCGAGGTGCTCTCCACTTCAGTATTCTCAGGAACCAGAAGAGCAAATGATGATCCCTACTACGTGGATTTTTTAGAAAACGGCAACAACAACAAATGCACATAAATGGTCTTGTAAATTATGACATTCATACAAATGTTGTTATGATTGCTAAGAATTCTCTTTAAGTGGAATAGATTCTTAAGAGACACATTTTGGGGGGTATCTATATGGCTATTAGGTCATCCTGTTATATAAGTGGTTTGCCAAGCTGTAATTGTCGGGCTCAACCTCACAGCTACTCATTGGTTGGGACAGGGCAAGGTTACGGCTACTTTAGCTTCACTTTACTGATGGGGATCCTGAGATAAAAAACTGAGATCACAGAGCACAGGCCAGAGTGCAAGATTTTTCCAGAGGTGAAGTACTTTGGCCTCCACAGGCTGCCTTAACTTCATGGTTCACAAAGGAAATGGTAGAACAAGTTTCCTTAAGCCTTTTCCTCAACAGCAGGCTTGCCTGATTTGCTTGGATAACTGTTCTCTTCTCCATCTGATTTTTCCACTGAAGACACCACCCAAGGCATGCTTGATTTGTGTCCAGGGGTTCTGATCTCCCCCTCTAGACTGTCAGCCATTTAGGGACAGTATAAATGGCCTCTTGGTCTTCCTGCAGCACCCTGTGTTTGAGGGAAGCTGGTGAGGTGGTGCCCATTCGGGCTGCACTGTAAACTCCTCATAGCTTTGAGGAGCAGGTGTGTGTGTGTGTGTGTGTGTGTGCGTGTGCGCACATGCATGTGCACACATGATTTCTCTAGAGGCTGCATTTGGATTCAAATGAAACAAATACTCACGGAGCACCTCCTCTGTGCCAGCTGCAAGCTTTAATCCACCTCTCATTTTATCCTATTTTTGATTTCAGACTTTGGTATTCATTTTAGGAACTCATTTCTCTGCATGGAATGCCCCTATCACAGTTCAGATGAGTGATGACTGTGGCCTCCGAGGCACCTTGAGCAGGGCTGAGGTGAGTGTGTGGATAGTAAGATGTGCAGGTAGTGGCTTCGGCATGACTTGCTTACAGTGACTTATAATGATTAGCTTGGTAGGTTAGCTGATGAGGTGTGAGGCTAGGGAAAAATATTACTGAAGTTTAGACGTGGAAAGGCCATGACAAACACCTAATGCAATCAGTGTATCTTATAAATGGAGTGATTCTTTTTTTAAAAAATGTATTTAGTACAGAGTCTATAGCGTCTCACTGCACAGATTGGACTCGTAGTGATCCTTCTGTTTTCAGCTTGCTGACTGCTGGGATTATAGGTGTGTACCACCACGCCATCTCATTTGCCATCTCAGTGCTCCCTGGATGCGGGGCTGGAATGGCATGACAGGGACCGAACCCTGTTCCCTGTGCCTGCCTAAGCAGGCGCTTTAGTCCAATGAGCCATCTGGCTGGGCCCAATGGAGCAACTCTTGCATGGAAAGTGAAGCGGTTTGTTCTAGGTGTAGAGCCAGGTAGCAAAGGTTCCTAGCAAACCTAACATGTCCCGACTCTCAGGACTCA